CAGACCTGGGGGCTGAGGAGCCCCGAACGCCCTGCAGCAGGGATGGCTGGTCCCAGGGGTCACAGGGCTTCCTGCGGCCCCAGAGGTCCCACGGCACAGGGAGCCGGGGGGAGCCCCATCCCCAAGCTGCCTGACCCCAGGCCTGCCACGTCCCCCTGCTCATGCGCAGTCTGAGCTATCACTTGGGGTGGGGACAGACCCTCTGCCATGGGGATGCAGCTGGGGACAGCCTCCAGAAGGAAGCCTGATGGCTGCTGTAACCCTGTCAAATGAGCCAAACAGCTCGCAGAGATGAGCCGAACAGTAGCCCCCTCGCTCCCGCCAGCGGACCAATCTCCCTCCCCCTCCCCAATTTGGGGCATACCTCCGTCAAGGCTGCGAGACATGGTGTACCGTTTGCTGGAGGAGCGCTCGAAGAGGGGAGCCGGGCGGTCGATGAGGGCACTGGCCTGCCGTGTCTGCGCCTGCGTCCGCCCGCTGTAGCGAAACTTGGAGCCCATCACCAGGAAGCCCTTGGGGGGTGGCTCTGGGGACACCAGCCTAGGGGTGAGAGAGGTGGAGTGCTGTCAGCGAGCCCCAGCCATGCCCCCCGGCGCTGCCCCCTGCGTGTACCCACTGCGGCAGAGGCAGGAGCATGTCTGAGGGAGGCCTGGAGAAGGTCTGGAGAAGGTCTCCTCACCTGAAGAAGGTGTGATGCTCTATGCAGACCTTCCAGAGACGCTTGGCAGAGCGGTGGTTGGGCAGCTTGAAGCCAATGGTGCTCTCAAACTGTTCATACTTGGGAGAGACAGAGACACGCCGTTACAGGCAGATCACACCCTAAAGGACAGCATGCGATGGGACCTGCCTTGCCAAGGCCCTCAGGTTCCTCTGGAAGGAGCCATGACCATGCAAAAAAAAGTCTTCTTCAAAGCAGTGCTGGAAAGGTCCATGCCCAGCCCCACTGGGTGGTGGGATCACGCCCCCACACTTTTGGCCTAAGCACTTTCCTCAACTGTAAATGGCTTTTCAGTGCAAGATAAATTCCCTCAAGAAATAAAAACCTTTTACAGCTCATTTTGGCGAGAGGGCATCACTCTCCATTTTAGATGCACTGTCCTTGCCCCCCTGCCTGCTGGAAAACATGGGTGGAAATGTATTCTCCCATCAGTGCACATAAAAGTGAAAACAGTGAAAATAAAGTCAGAAAACAACCCTCAAAAATGGCCCTCAACCCCTCTTCCTGGGTGACCTCCCTATGCCAGCAGGGTCACGGCGTATGGCTGGTGGGGAAAGGAGCCTGGGGCGCCCTCAGCCTGCTGAAGTCACTTTGCCAGTGAGAAAATGAGAGCACAAACAAGAAAGCGCTTGCTGAAAGCCTCCATACGCCACAGGAGATGTGCTCTCTTGGCCGGCGTGGTCATTAACTTGGGACCTTTGGGGCAGAGGCTGGAGCCAGGCAAGGACCTCCCCGCCAGGCAGCCCCAGTCCAGCAGAGCAGGCACCGTGCTGTGCCCTGGGGCCACACTGGCACATGGCACCCACCTCACCCGGGCGGATCTTGATGTAGAAGTTGCTCCTCTTGTAGGAAATTTTGAGGATCTTGGGCCAAGCGAAGCGGTTGATCCTCAGCCGGTCCCTGTAGATGAGGAGCCCATTGGCGCAGACGCCCAGCATGATGTCGATGCCCTCTGAGTCCTGGAGGAGGCAAGAGGGACAGGAGGGGACTGCTCAGCTGCCCAGTAAGAACCGGTCCAGCCAGCAGTGCCACGCTCCCTCCTGCTCAGTGCTCTGCTGCAGGTGACTGGCTGACAGAGAGGTGACTGAATCACAGACTGGTTGAGGTTGGATCTCTGGAGGTCCTCTGGTCCAATGCAGGGCCACCCAGAGCCGGCTACCCAGGACCGTGTCCTTGTTGAACCTTCATTGTGGGAAGAAGGGGCTGGGCAGGGAGGGGTGTGCAGGCAGCAGGGCAGGATGGGGTGGCACTGGCTATTGCTCTGGCAGCCCCATGGCCTCGTACCTTGGCGTGGTGCAGGTCCACCCCGTACATGGAGAGCTTCTTGGCGTTCTCCAGGAAGTGGATCTCCGCTTCCCCGGGGGTCATTCCCCTACAGGGAGACAGAGAGGGGGATATGTGGCCGGGCACCCCACCAGGCGTGGGCCAACTGTCTGGTGCCTTCCTTGCCACCAGCCCGTCCTCTCCTGGGGCTCACCGGTAGGTCTTGTGCAACTCCATGATGCGCTCCTCCAGCTCTCGTGTCTGGTTGGGGGCGAAGCGGAGCTCACTGACATAGTTGCCCACGTGCTCCTCGGCATCATAGTCGCCCAGCTCGGCCTGCACGGCGTAGGAGCCCAGCAGGGCATGCGTGACAAAGGAGCAGGGCAGGCGCCCCGTGGTGATGTCCGCACGGAGCTGCAGGCACAGGTAGTATCTGCAGGAGGGGGCAGAGGGTGAGAGTGGGGCAGAGGTGTGTGCCCTCTGGAGCAGGCTGGGGCTCCCAGGGAAGTGGCAGCATGCACCCCACCTTGCACTGCTCCCGGTGGGGACTGCCACCTCCCACGGCCACCTTCCTGGCCACGCTCTGTGTGATTTAGACATGCCACACACAGCAGGAGGGCAGCGAGCCCCCAGACAACCCCTGGCTGCCCATGTCCTGCCTGAGCCCTGCCCCTCCACATGCTCCCAGTCGGTTCCCTGGGAGCTGCCCCAGCAGCTGTGCCCATGGAGGGGTGGTCCTCACCTTGTGATGTCCTCCGTGAGCTGGGCAGGGTCTGGAGGGTAAAACTTCACAGTGAAGGCGAAGTTCCAGGGCCCACCTAGGGAGGGGAGAGAGCAGTAAGGGCAGCACCCACGCTGGCTGCATGCAGCCGTGCAGGAGTATCCGGGCATCCACTAAGGGTCCCACGAGTCCCCCCAAGCCCAGCACAGGGCAGGGACAAGGGGGCTCCAGAAGCTGCCAGCCATTGGGACACCAACAAAACTTGGTTAATCCTCCCCAAACAGCTGGGGAGAGAAAGGCATCACAACTTCAGGAAGCCATCAGCTCAGCATGACTACAAATGCCACAGCAAAAGCCTCACATGTCCCAGAAGGTGACACCCTGGGCAACAGCCCTTCTGCCGCCCCAGCAAGGCAACATCATGGGCAAAGGCACCCCAGAACCTGTCCCAGCAAGCCCCCCACTCTTCCCCCCATCCCTGTCCTCCCTGCTCAGGGCAGGTGACGCCCTGGGGACGGTGCCCAGAGAGGGACCGGGCCTCAGCCAGCTCTCTGGTGGCATAGACAGGGTCCTTTGCCCCCCACAGCTGTCATGAGTAAGAGGAGAGGTGGGTAACAGGCAGCCGAACGAACAGCATCCCTGTTCCCAGGCCAGCTGCCAAAGGTCCCCTCCAGGGCAGGTAGGGAGGGGACCCACTGGAGGACAGCCACAGCTGAGCCATCCAGGAGCCCAGCGGGATGCCCCAGGGCTGGGATGGACCCTCCCCAGGCACTTACTGCGGATCTGCTTCTTGATCTCCTTGGAGGGGTCCAGCCAGTTCTGCAATGAGGAGACAGTAGGTCAGGGGGGCCCCCCACCACGGAGGAGGCAGCTGCAGAGGGACCCCCCGTGCTTACCTTCTGGCTGTCCGAGTCACAGAAGGTGAGGCCGAAGTAGTCCTTCTCCAGGAGGTTGAGGTGCTCGCACACCATGTCGAAGAGGACCTGACCTCGGGCATGCTTCTGTCGGAGATATGGAGGGGCTGATGGTGAGCCAGCTCCCTTTTGCTCCTGGAGACCCAGCAGGTGCAGGCAGCACCCACTGGGCGCAGGCAGGGAGCACTGGGGAGGGTCAGGGCAGGCCTGGCCCTCCCGACAACCACCAAAAGGTGCTGGGCTGCCTTTGAGAGCAGCCCTCTCACCCGGCAGCACTGCTCTGGGGACACCCAGGTGGTCCCAGGGCTGCGGGGACTGGGCACGGTCGAGCCCAGCCAGTGCAGTGCAGGCAACAGGTCCCACGGGCCAGGGGGACCCGGTGCCCACCTGGCTCATCCCCCATCACACCAGGAGACAGTGATGCCAAACCAGAGAGGGGTCCAGCCAGCCAAGGCACCTCCGCTCCAGACCAGCAAGCTGGGACAAATGCACCCAGGGCTCGCGGTGGCCAGTGCTGCCCATGGGACAAGCTCCTTCCCAACACCCTCCCTGGTGGTGGTGATGGTGGCTGGGTCCCGAAGCACAGCATGACAAATAAGAGCCACGAAGAGCCTGAGCCACACACAGGGATGGAGGGCACCCTCGTTATTGGGTCCTTTGAGTTCCCCTGAATTTCCCTTCGTTATGGGTGGCAGCAAGGCCCAGGCTTACTCATGGAGATGCAAGAACAACCCCTCCCATGTGTGTTTCTCCCCTGTTTACAGCCTTCCAGCCTGGCAGCCCCCATCTCATCTCTCCAAGGCATCCATTTACCAGAGCACCTTCACCACGCGTCCCAGGGACGGCAGCCCAAGGCACAGCCCTAGCGGCTCGCTGCCCCCAACTGCAACCCTGGGCTCCTGCTGCCCAGGGAGCAGGAGCTGCCTACAAAGCTTTTCCAGCAGTTGCAGTCACCCTTCCTGGGTCTCCTCCCTCCTGCTGACCTGGGTTTTGAAGGCAGGGGCTCACCCATGGCACGTGCCAGGGTGTCACACTGAACGGTTTTACTCCCCTTTTTGATTTTTCCTGAATTAAGCCTTAATTAAGCATGCAGGCAAGGCACAACTATTCCCACAGGGCCTGCAAGAAAGAAAGAAGAAATGCAGCACCAGCCTTTCTACGCTAAACCCTCTCCCCTATGCCCCAGGTGGCTTTTTCAGAGAGCAGCAGCTCTCTAAAAGTCAACCCTATCCTCTGCACCGCAACAGCAGAGAACTTGTCCTTACCCAGGCACGGAGAAGGGCATTGCTCTGCTCACGAAGTTGCCAGTGAGCCTGCAACCCCGGTTTCTGTTTGCATGCTGGTTTTGCTTGGCCAATGCTACAGGGAGAGCCAGGGGAAGGACGACCCCGTCGGGGCTCGCGCAAGCTGCTCCTGCACCCCGTGAGTCCCCCGCAGTCCCTGGGGTGCTCTGTTCCTTTTCTTCTTCAGGAGGGCTTTCATCTTTGTGACAACCCTTCTTTCCACAGCTTTGTGACAAATTTTACTGCTAAAGCGACAGTCAGGGTTGCTGGAGCACGGAGATCAAAGGCCCTGCTGCCTGTCCCACAGGCAGGGGGCCAGACCCCCCCATTGCTGGCTGCCTTGGGGTGCTCACTCATCCCAGGCAGTCACAGCGAGCAGGCAGCCACGCTCCTTACATTCATCAATCCTGCACAGCTGAGACCCGGGGGAGGCAGGACCTGCATACAGATGCAGGTCCGCTCTGCGCAGCCAGCTCCAAGCTGCTGCCAACAAAAACCTGTCTGCCCACTCGCCAGCAGCAAGTGCAAGGTGCCCTGGCAAAGGCTCCAGGACTTCTGCTCCTGAACAACCTCAGCCTTCTCATTTTTAAGCAAAGTTGCCTGTCTTTAAAAACGTCCCTCCCACCAGGATGATGCCACAGGTCAGAGCAGCGCTGCCTTCCCCAGCCTGCAGGCAGGAGACAGCAGTGAGCGCTGGGGACAGAAACAGGCACTCCCTGCAAGTACTTCTCCTCCCAGCTGCCCTTGCCCCTGTGGCAGGGCCACAGGACCCTTCCACAAAAACCAGCTTCAGCTCCTGACTTAATCCTGGGTGTCGCCCAGCCTGTCCTAGAAGGGAGAGGTCCCTGTGCTGACAGTGGCTGAAGGAGACCTGCAGCATCTCCCAGTGCCGAGGCAGCGGGCGCCAGCCCCCTCTGTCCCCCCCTGCAGTGCCAGCCACTACCAGGGAAACGCACTCCCTGGCGCACACCTGCATGCACTCGTGCACACCCGTGTGCACACCCACGCCACACGCTTGCGATGCTGCACAAATAGCGGGTGGCCCACACACCCAGAGAAGGGTGCTGGACCGCCTGCCCAGGCACACTGCCCTGCCTGCACACATGAGGATGCAGCTACAAGAATGTGCATGTGTATCACCCTTATGTATGCATGCACACACACATGCATGATGCTGCCAGGCTCTGACACACCTCCCCATGCGGTCCCTGGCCTGCTGGCTTTATGGGGAGGGACAGCAAGGGATAAGAAGATGACCACAGAGAGAACAGACGCAAACTCGCCTGGGCAGCCATGAGGGTCCATGTGTGTCAGCCTCTTCGCACCAACACGTGCACACACATCCTTCACCTTAGCATGCGGGACAGCCAACACGCTGCGCTCTTGAGGTGTCAGCAGACAGGCTGGCACATGGATGTGTTGTGCACATATTGTCAGGCAGAGCTCTATTCCCCATCTATTAAGCTTCTGCTTTTTAGACAGTTTTCTATTGTAAGTAGCTGCCAAATTTGGATTCACTGGGCTGAAATTCCCTGCTAGGGTCTGTCTTTCCAGATTTTTTTCCTTATTTCGAAATTTCAACTTAAATGCCTATTTCTGTGGATCCTTTTCCCTAGGAGAGAGGTACTACAAAGCTGTCCTTGGAAGACCCCTGATATCGGGGACTCAGTGGGCTGGGCTGGCTCCCCAGGCTGAGACGTGTCCCCTCCTTGGTGCCAGCGCAGCCCCCTGAAGCTGGCACTCACCTCCACCTCGCATTCGTACTCAGAGGCATCGAGCAGGGTCACTCTGCAGAGGGCACTCTTCACTTTCTTGGTGGTTTTCTGGGGTGACTTCTGGGTCTTGCTGGGGGTTGTTTTGTCAGAGAGCCCGTCCGTCTCGCTGTAGTCCTTCTCCTCCATCTCTGTGCCCTGGAGCGGGGAGATACACAGGGTTACCCGGCACCACTGCCAGGATGGATGGACAGATGGGGAAAGCCCTCCAACAGCAGGCAGAGAACAGCAGCTGGTGGCAGGGAGGCAGGTACCTCTTGGGAGTCCACAGCCAAGACCAGTTCCCCCACCCCGTGCTGCCGGCACAACCAAGGTCCCTGGAAAATGGACGCCTGTGAGCCTGGGGTCAGTTCAGCACCCGAAACCTCCCTGCCCAACTGCCTGGTGCAGCAGGCAGGGCCAGGGCAGCACTGTGCCTGCTGGCAGCAGCACAGCTCCCCGGCAGCTCCGAGGCTGACATCAGGGTGCAGCTGCTGCTCCCAGCCCTGCCAGGGGCAGCTCAGTCCTGGGACATGGAGCTAACCGCTTCCTCCCTCTGCCCTGGCCGGCAGCCACGGCAGTGCCATTTCCAGCACAGTCAGCACTTTGGGCTGCTGCACTGCTCCTTCTGCCTGTCCTGCCCATGCAAGGACCCATGCAGGCAGCTGGGAGACAGCTGGCAGAGCCCATCCACTGCCCTGGTTGTAGGGGGCTCCCCTCCGGGATGTTCCCCCGGGGCTGACAGCACAGGGGAGGTGCCCAGCTCACCGGGCTCCCTGCGGCCCCCACGCTGCAGCAAGGACATGGCAATGGGCAGCAGAAAGCGGTGGCACATCCCCTTCCTCTGCTGTGCCCTCCACTCTGCTGCATCTCATGGCACCCAGCCGTCACCCACCCCCCG